TTACGTCCGTACAACAACGGAAGCCGAATGCCAAGAGAGCAATCACGTTTGACGCATTCGACAGTCCTTATTGTTTCTTCAGCCCTCTGCCTACCAGGCCGGTAAAACGCACCAAGGTAAGTTTCCTTGTTTAACACTGTGTCTTTTTTTACACAATTCTCATACCTACGAACATTAATTCAATCAAGTTCCAAGATCTAATTTAGAAGAATTAATTTGACTAATTATTAACTATAAATTGTATCTAATATCGTATGTTTATATCAGCGAATAAAGTATTATATCTGTAAAAGTATTATACCTGTAATTGCTTTTACGCAGTTAAGTAAATTATTCTCTTAAAATATTAAGTCAATCTTACATATTACAATACAGTCAATTGTTACTACAGATGCATTGCTGGTACGTGTTAAAATTACAATTATCGAAAGATTTTTCCTTTTATTTTTAGGCACAACTGGAAGCACAATGGATAGCAGTGGCGTGTGGTCGTACCCGGGACCAGCTTGAAATGACTCGCGCCGCTCGACGCTTTCTGAACAATCATGGATACGTGCCGTTGCGCCCACGTTCTTTGAATTTCTGAAGAAAAAAAATGGAAAAGGAATGTGAAAAAACGGAATATCGGCGCTCGGTCGCACTTTGTGGTACAAAAGAAGAATTGTCATTAAACTAGTCGTAGATGAAGATATAAGGCCGTTCCGTTTCAGGAATGCACGATCACTATCGGTTATTTTACGCGCTATGAATTCGAGAGGTAAATTAAACGACGAATTCGATCAGTTGACCTCGATGTGCGTGGATTAACTCTACACTGCGCTGGGTAACAGAGGGAGGATACTTTGAAGAAAACAGCGGAAATAAATATTACTCTTTCGGGGAGATTATGGATGGTGACTGAATCAGGCGTGGATCTAATATGGAAATAGATACTTTCCTCTATCTCTTAAACATACTTTTCTTTTTTAGAACTTTTGTGTTTCTAACCACTCATTTCGACAGAAAAGTATATTGAGTTATTTATGATTTCTCTCTCTTTTCGAAATTAGAGGGCACTAGGAAAATTAAATTATGTTCTTCTTGTAAAAAAAACTGTATATAATAAAGAAGTGTGAGATAGAGCGAAGAAGTAGCTGTTTCACGATTTGCAAAATTTAAAATTATATCGCTTTGTAAAAGCGTTCTATGTTTTGTGGTTGCTTTTTGGAGATATTTATAAATATAGTTTATATACGTATTTATAATATATAAATATAAACTGTAAATATATATATATTAACAGATCATATGTTCATTACATATACAAATATATAGCATATGAGGTATGTGTACAATATATCATATATATATATATATTATATATATTTACATGTATATGATATATATGTATGTAGGTATATATGTATATATACACATACACATCATTATAGTACATATAATATTGTAGATATATATATATATATATTGGATATATTATATATGTATATCCAATTTTGTATATGCTATAATTTCCTTTTTCAAGTTGGATTTCTGGATCCACTTCTAAAAAGAGTTCTGAAAGAGTACTGAAAATGTGAAATAAATAAATTAGTTCTGTGTAAAAAATAAAAAAAAGAGATTAGATTCTATGTACAAATTTAATTGTGTGCGCATTGTAGGGTTAAATGATTTCTCGTCGTTGTAGATACCGTCAGTAATTTTGGACGCGTCGAGTGCAATTTGATGAATTCGCTTACATATATATGAAAGCCACAATGCAGCCGAATTTCCATCTGGGATTACGGGATTGTTGCACTTTATCGACTTTATCCTCTGTCGCGCTGTTCTCGTCAAGGTGTAACACGAATACGATAATAGATCTTTCGCGTCTACATATTGGATAATAAGAAGTAGGATAATATATATAATATTTTGTAATTTTATTTACAATTTTTCCTATAAACTCCGTCCCGTGAGAGAATGATTTCAGTCTGTATATCTCATATGTAAAAGCGAAGGGAAAATAAGTCAAACTCGTTAAGCAATAATTAAGCATCACTATTTATTTCGTGATATTGTGTTTACTATCCAAAAACAATTTCTAATAGGTATCTGTCAGACGGAAATCATTCCTTCATAGAACAAAATTCGCATCAAAATGGTAATCCTGTTTCCATTTCATGAGATTTTAATGCAGATATCTGAAAGATCGAATAAACGCGAATATCTATAAAAACTATTTATACTTTTTTTTTCACACGCGTTTTTCGTACACAAATACCACTTCTTATCATCCTCTCTTTTTCTCACTTTTATACGGGAAAGTTAAAAGAATAAAATTATAACTGATTTATTTGATACACAGTAGTATATTATACGTAATATAAAACAAAATCATTATTGCAACCATTATGTACAAAGAGCCTTTGTAATTCATATTTAATTTACAAGTGAATAATAAAATCGTGATTATAATCACAATAGAGTCTACGTATATCGTTCTGTGTCACAAAGTTTTTCTAATGCTGATTAGACACAAGACAACATATGCAAGATGCCTTTAACCTGTTGATAGATCCTAAACAGGTAAACATTTAACATTTATAAAGTTGCTTCAATGAAACAGCAATATTAAACAATTAAATATAATTATCATAGCATTCATTAATATCATTCCTGAAAACACACACACACACACACATACATATATATGTGTGTGTGTGTGTGTGTGTATAACAAAAGAAAAATATCAATGAATATGACAATTATTAATTACTAATGTATGGAATTATAACAATATAACATAATATAACAGTAATATCGAGCAGCCTAAAAAAACATTCAATACTTTTGCATCCAAGTATGTTTAATTTTTATAATATTTTTATTTAAAAAACCTACAAATTTTTAAAGACCGCTCAATATTTATTAAAAATATCACTGTAAAAGTATCACTAAACATCACTAAAAATGTCGTTAAAATATCACTATTATTCACTAAAATGCGATAAATGGAATGATAAAGTCGAAGCCATCGGTATTGATTTGCTTAAATTTTGAAAAATTGTTTTTTCAATGATATATTTAACTTTCAAGGAATTAAAATAATTATATGATACTATATATCAAATCTCAGCTTTAAATAAAATCGTTATGCTTACCGAATGTTTTTAGATCATTTATCATAAAGTATACGAGCTATACTTGACAGTAACTATTTGGTCATTAGAAATTATTTTTTATCAAACATGAAGATTCATAATTAATATCATGATTGTTCGAGTATTCACCTAGATATTATGTGTACAATTATACACTAAAATAGATTACATAGATTTATTAAAGGTGCATATTATATTAGCTGCTAGAGAAATGCTTCTCTTGGGAGAAATGCGAATTCAATATATGCACATAGAAATGGATTAGTATGTATCCGCAATATCCTAATATTATTCAACGAAAAGTACTCTTCTCTAATTATACTTATTACATTGATATATTTTATTGCAGTAGTGTGTGCCACCCAGTGAATTCAATGACTGCGTTCAACAAATATAAAGCAACTATTGTAAAATTTTTAATATAATTGGTTTTTTGCTCTTAGTTGTTCACTGAAGTGAATCTAAGACTACATTCCAAAACGTACTCTCCGAGGAAAGTTTTACTTGATATAATATAGTATACGTTATGTATATTTCGAGTAAAATTGTATAAACCGAATATATTTAAGAAATTTCTTACCACAATTGTGTGCAAAACTGCTTTCTCTGCTGAACGTAACCATTTATATTTTATACAAAACATTCACACTTACAAGAAAAATCGTAATATGAGCAGTAATATGCGCTCAATCTTCTGCGACTAGATTATGACTAAATGAGATCTTTTCCTAAATAAAATAGAATGTGTGTAAAGAAAGCTGGAAGCTTCCAAGCGATTTACAAACGGAAATTTATCAGATTTTTTATCAGACTTAACTTTGGTTTCTACATGATGTCGACTTATGTGTAACGTGTTGTCGGAATACAATCAAATTAGGCCAGTTCATATATTTTAATGTGACAAGGATGCTAAGTATACATAAATTATTGTTCACTGTCAATGATAAGATTTTGTAGATATTTACGAAAAAATTAATATAGCAACGTTATATATGCAGAACATGTAATTTTACTTACAACAGGGTGACACCGTGCTATACTGCCTAATATGAAAAAAAATTTGACGATGTTTCATATTTTTCCCACTTCGCAACACACACACCATACACACATACGTACACACGTGCCGTTTCACAATTATTTTCTTAGAGACGTAATTAGTAGTTAACTAATGCAGTTACTCTTTTGAAAATAAATGTAGCTAGACGGAGAAAATATGCAGAACATCCAAATATCTATCGCGCAGAATTTTCATCGATAATCTTGGAGCAATTTGGAATTTAATTTTTTTTCTTAGGAATGTATAGTAATCACTACAGCTATTTTTAAGCTGTAAGAAGGAATGTATTGTTTTAATTACAAAAATATTTATTGTTAGAAATTGAAAAATTACAACAAAATAAAATATATCAATATATTTTTGTTACAAAACTCAACTATAAATTTAGCAAATATATCTGAAATATTGCGCGATAATTCTGGAATATCCTGTCTATATAAGATAAAAACAATAAAAACATAAAAATCAACATCTTCGTAAACATAAATACAGATTATCTGCAAAATATTCTCATATTGAGAATATTTCTCATCAACTGTTGTTTCAAATTGTAATTTAATAAACAAGCCACTTTGTAGAAATATTTTTGTTAATAATATATAATTATGTTAACAAAATCATACTAAAATGTGATTGTGCTATAGCGTGTCATAAAATAATCATTGGAAGCAGATTATGCATTAGTTTTGATAATATTAGTGGTCACACACACATTTAACAGATATTTAATTTTTACTATATTAACTTCGGTTAAACAAAAAATTCTATTTTCGATTGAAAGATACTACGAAGGCCAAAAAAAGTGCAATTTGCTATAAAAAGGATGAAATAAAGATAAAATACAAATACTCTCCTATCATTATTACTATAGTATATTCCTTCTATGATCGTTGAATAATTTCTGATAATATTCCAAACTTTGGTTTTACGATCCCTCTTTCTCTTCTGTAATACCAGCTGCTTCGTTTAGAGCATCAGGATCTGTGGAAAATTATTGAAAATTCACGTAATCATCCACAGATATGAAATAATCTTAGCAATTAATCATCACCTGAACAAGGGGAACCTTTTATCCTACAAGTATTGTAGCTACCACAGTTTAAGCACTTCAACCCAACGATGTGAAACTTTACCGTAGATTCCTGAAATAACAGGTATCTTGCCATTAATATCTCTTAATCATTTCCCACGCCTCAACATTTGGGATATACATATGTATGAAGAAGTAGATTTGACCTCGTGGCAGTCTTTACATAAGATATCGGTTTTACAGTCGTTATATTCCTCCGGCATCGGCGTCAGCGACACTTCCGCATCCAGATATTTCCACAAATCCGTCATGTCTAAGAGGGACACCTGACAGGATGGGCAAGCGTAATGTCCCGAGTTCAATAATTCCTCAAAACACATACGGTGAAGCAGGTGTCCACAATCCGGGATGTGACATGGTATACGACTCGTGTGAATGTCTTCCAGGCACACGGGACAATTGGAATGCGATACATTTTCTATACACTGCGAAACAAAATTTATTTGGCGTTTATATATAACTGCAAATTGCATATAATATGAATAATAGTGTTCAATTATTGTTCTACATTTTGAATATCTATACATATACAATACTTTTATCACAAACATACATTTTGTGTCATTGTATTCTTACCGTATGTCCGTTTTGTAACTGGATGGGCAAGCACATGTTGCACTTAGCACAGTGAAAGAATTTGTCACGACCACCGACTCTACATATTCCGCATCCATCGCAATGATACTGATTTTTATCCTCGTCGTCAAAAAGATTGCATTCTAAACATGTGTATTTACCAAATTGACAATGACAGTTCTGACAAGTAGCTTGAACAGGTTGACGAGTATCGCAAAGAACGCATATCAATTCTGTAACTTCTTTTCTATTCACTGTGTGTGCCTCTTGTTCGTCGTGACAAAACCGACAGGTATAAACTTTATTGCAGCATGGAGTCTGTAATAGATTAGATATGGAAAGATTAATTCATTATGAAACAAAGTATACATTTTTTATTATTATTACACTCATTATTATTTATATAAGAATTTATATATATGAAAAAAAATAAAAATACAGAATTCTCAGGATTAATTGTTACTAATCATAAATTAATCAACATAGACATACGTGACATTTAAATTCTATTTAAATAACATAATTAGAATATTATTTTTTTTTAAACTATAGTAAAGTCTTTATTCTTTTTATAATAAAAGCAAATTTTAGACTTTTTAATGGTAAATTCAGTCATTTGCTATTATACTAGATTAGTGAATTCTGAAGGCTGTTATATATAAAATTAGCAAAGTTAAATGTAAAAGCATGTACAAATATTTTAAACAATTAGACATTAACGTACATGTATTATTTCATTGTCAAAGTTAAAGATATAATATTATGTCACTGCATTTGGATACTTTATACAAAGCAGGCTTTTTTAAATGTATACTAATCCAGTGTAGTGCGAGTAAAACTCAATATAATCGAAAGCCAAAAAGTTATTAGTTTTTATAAATATAAACATTTGATAATATCATAATTCTACCTGAAGATATCATAAAACACATTGGGATCATCTTCGAACTTACCACGAATTTGGATTTTCGTTTGTAGTGTTCGCAGCCGTAATTATTGTTTGAAACAGCCAGTGTCTCCTTTCCCGAAGTGGACGGGAGATACATGGTCCAAACACAGTCTCCCTTCTTCGACACGGACTTCCGCGTATCTTTGCGATCCCTATCCTCGCAATCCGCACCGGCGGCTTGCTCGGTGTCGCGATTTAGGCTTTCGTCGTCGCGTTCCGCGACGCTGCCCTCGCCACGATTCGGGCCGTCACTCTCGTGATCCGCGGAGGTCTCCTCGGCGCCGTCGTGACTCGGCGTCTCGTCGGCGCGATCTCCGACGGTTTCCTCAGCCGCGCCGTCGCTATTCGACGCCTCATCGTCGCGATCCGTGGCGGTGTGCGTCTTCTCGTCGTCGTTATTCTGCATTCCTGATTCTGCTACCCTTTCCCGTCGTTCGATCTCATCGACCCAAGGCACGACCTTTCCGTCGATTAACACCGGTGCATCTCGCACCTCTCGTCCTTGTTGTCGCCGTTCTCGTTCTTTTCTCGTCGTCCAACTCAAATCACGCGAGAATCAACGAGAATACCGTGTACCGTGTCCTCGGAGAACGTGCGACGAGAATATTCGGACCAATTCGGCTCGGCTCGGTTCAGGGCCAGTTAAAGTTAAAGGTCGACGCGTGGAAAGTGTCGGTAAGATTCTGAGAAAACGAGGTCGATCCGCGACGATTCCGTCGCTAGGAACGATCTTGCACTCGCCACACTCCATGCACCCTATAGAGTGCAGAGTTTGCTTTGCTGGCGTTTGCTCAAATTTTCTCACATTTGCTGACTTTGCTGTTGCAACACGTCACGAAACGGACGGCGTGGCGACGTCAGTCGCGAGTCAATTCCAGAGATCACCAATCCGCATGTACGATCGACGTCGTGTGACTTCGCGCATCTAGGTATAACTCGTGCGTTGTGATTGTTGGAATTTAGTGTTGTTTTCCCGGGAAATTAAAATCGCTGGAAAAGAACCAGTGCATCATTTGTTCACCGACGAATAATAAAGAAGGATGCGTCATGCGCAATTCGGAATGCGATCCTCTCTATCTTTCCCGCGATTTTTTCCGTGGAAAAATCTGATACTGCAGAAGAAATGTTTTTTTAATAGTATTTTATTTCTTTCTGTTCTTAAAACCCGCCATTTAATACATATTATATAACACAAAATATAAATTAAACGCTTGTGTTAATTTTTTTTCAAAAACATTTATTTAATTACAAAACAATAAAATTATTATAAAAGTTGTAGTTATAAAAATATTAAAATAGACGCTTTTTAACCATGAGTATTGGTTATCATCGCATAAAAGTTGTCTCCGCAACTCATGCTTTTAATTATTTCTTTGACATTTATTTCATGGATACCATCAATTTCTTTCGCCAAGGAGCACATATAATGAAAAAGTCACTGGTTGCAATTGCGCGCAAAACATTTAATAATGTTAATAGATCTTTCTTATGCGAGAATTGGCGCGAGTCTCTTTCTTTTGAGTCTTTTCCTTTTTTGGACCTCTGCCTGGTGGCGGGCCGCCACAATCATTTAAAAAAAGATGTAAACTTCAAAAACAATGAATGTTTTTGTGAAAGGGAAATATGCAAGTTAAGAAATTAGTTACCAGAATCAGAATATCTCCATAAACTATAATGCTGTGTCTATATATTTATAATTATTATTTACGTGCACTAAAGAATATTCAGTAAATTTTGGAATACACCAAACTACGAAAATACGCAAACAGTTTCCGCATTGATGGTTTTAAAAATTTAGAGTCAAAGGGGTAGCTATTTTGGCTTTCACTGCAAGCAAATATTTTTTTAATATCAAATATGAAAAGAATATTAAATTAGTATTTAAATTATTACATAGGAGAAAAAGTATTATTTAAATGTATAATTCATAAAATGTTTTACTTAAAATTACGTTAACAAAGGAAGAATAATAGAATATATTTATGTAGACTGTATCAATCAATTATTATTAGTACAAAATTTAACAAACTTTTATGAGCTTATTTTTATTAATAACGATTTTTTTCCTCACAAATGAGAGATATATTTATATATATACGTATATTCTATTTTTTTATAAACTTTTCTTTCGATATTTTTCACTCTTTCTTTTCTAATTAATTCGGAATACACGCAGCTGTGAGACATATAATACAAATTCGGAATACACGCATTGTGTGTGTTGTGTAGGTTGTGTACCACTGGGCAACTCACAAAACCACAATTTTCATAGAACGTTTTAATTGAAAGAAAACAGTTGTATTTCATTTAGAAATTTAATTCAAACAGAGCAAAAAAATAAAAAGTTTGAAACAATTACATAAGAAGCACAAAAAAAAAACAGTTAAAAGGAGAAACCTGGATAGATCTCGCACGTGTTTCTGCCTGTGAAACATAACCTTAATTATTTATAAGGAGCTCTAGAGCTCCATATAAAAATATATAATTATTTGATCGTTGTTTCTATTATTTTTCCGATAACACTTCTATAAGCTACGGACCAAATAAAATTATAATATTAAAATATTCAAATTATGTACCGTGTTATGTCATTACTTTTCTATAAATAATTCATTATCCTGATTAGATGATTTAGCATGAATTTATTTTATTTGTGAACAAAGTTGTCTCTTATTTTATACAATAATAATAAATATTTGCATATAAACATATGTATAATAAGATGCTGTAAATTTCTACTTGTCAATACTTTTATTAATTAATCACCTAATATTGTGCTGACTGCTGATCATTGTATCAAGAGTATTTATAATCAGAACTATTCAAGTATTGAAATGACAGTAATACTAGGAGGTGGCATATCAGGCCTGTCAGCAGCGTATTATGCCGTTAATGATGCTAGACTTTCGTCTATCATTTTGCTAGAGGCTTCTAATCGCTTAGGTGGATGGATACGTAACAGAAGCTCGCCAAGTGGAGCGATTTTTGAGCAAGGACCAAGAACTGTAAGAGTACTTGGTGGAAAAAATACTCTCAATTTGGTAGAAGATCTGCAATTGAATGACAAATTAATTCATATCGATCTGTACCATCCTGTGGCAAAGAATCGATTGATTTACATGGATGAGGCATTGCATCGTTTACCAAATTCCTTAAAAGGTATCTTCAAGACAACCTCGCTACTAGATCGTCCCTTGATAAACCGCATATGGACGGACTTGAGGGCTCCTAAAGTATCTAACGAGGACGAGAGTATTCACAGCTTCGTTCAGAGGAGACTAGGCCAGGATATTGCGGATAATTTGATCAGCCCCATGATCTGTGGGATCTGTGCGGGAGACGCACGCGAGATAAGCGTCAATTTTCTACTCAAATCACTGTTTGAGGCGGAACAGAAACATGGTTCTATAGTAAAAGGCATGGTAGCGAAAAAACTAAAAGCTTTTTTCGCAAAATCGGAGAACAAGGATAATGCAGGGAAGGAGGATAAAGTGAACGATGAGCCGACAACGAAACCATCGACCTTGGTGAGGAGAGCAGAAAACGAAAAATGGGTAGTATGGGGCTTGCAAGGAGGACTCGAGCAACTGCCTCAGACACTAGCCGATTATGTGAAGAGTCGAGGAGTAACGATACAGACTGAGAAAAAGTGTGAAAAACTTACGTTTAAATCAGACCGGGTAGAACTATTAGTCAATGGCGATCTTCAGGAATGTTCGCGCGTTATCTCCAGTTTATGCGCGAAGGACTTGGCTGAGCTATTGCGAGAGCAGCATCCTAAACTGTCGACGGAATTGAAAGCGATACCTACCGTGACAGTCGGAGTAGTCAATCTTGAATTCCAGAACAATGTATTACCTCTGCAAGCATTCGGCTTCCTCGTACCGCCGAAAGAAAATCTGCCTCTACTAGGCGTACTCTTTGACTCCTGCATATTCCCTGGATCTTCCACGGTACGCATATCTCGAAACAATTTTATTGCCTGCTCGTATTTCTATATGCTGTTCATTTTTCAGTTAATTCATTCGCAGTACCATTCAATTTTCATTTCTAACATAATTTTTATTTTCATATATACAATACTGAGAGAATTATTGAGAGAGATATATAAATTATGCGACATGTAAAAAAAAATATTTTTTAATAATAAATTAACGTATAAAATATGACTATGATTTAGGTAATGACGGTGATGATGGGAGGTGCGTGGTTCGAGAAATATTTCGGGTCAAACCCTTCGGAGGAACAATTGTTAACGACGGCGATTAATCACATCAAGAATATCTTAGTAATCGAAGAGGAACCAGTCGCATACAACGTTGCCATTCTCAGAGACTGTATTCCGCAGCACGTCGTGGGTCATAACGCACGTGTAAAACGTATCCACGATTATATTTCCGCGCACCATATTCCCCTGGCACTGTGCGGTTCTTCTTACGAAGGTGTGGGACTCAATGATGTTATTCTGTCAGCAAAACAGGCCGTTCGTGATGTTGTAAAATAATTGCAGAATCGATTGATTCATGCAAAATGGTAAGGTAACTAATAACGTCACACGTAAAAAAATAAATAAAGACTACATGCAAACGCTGTACATGCTGAATCATACCAAACCATGCAAAAAAAATCTTGTTACAAAAGTTAAAATGAAAATATAATCTTTGGATGAAACACAGTCTGTAATTTATATGATAATAATAGTAAATAACTATTTTGTTGCGTGAAAATATGACTCAAAAATGAAGTAGTAAAATATATTTTACGAAGAGTTATATTTGTATTAAATGTACAGAGTGTATGTTATGCTACAAAATATAATATAACTTCATTAAAACTTTATTAACTTTATTAATTTATAAATAAAGCATAGATATATATAAAATTTTTCTAAGAACTAGTCAGAGAAACTTGTTTTCTTGTTATACAAATGTATAATACAAAAAAGGCACTTCTTTAAAATGATACTTTTTTTCTCCTTTTTTTATTATATTCCTATCAATTAATATATTTTGCAGTAGTATAAAATTATTTTAATATTTTATCATTTATATTTATTGAAAATAAATTTATTGTCTACTGCTTTTTTCTGTATAGAACAGTATATATATAGGAACATAAAAAAAATGTGCTATTTATCTGTAACAAAAGATAATAATCAAATGTCTGTCTGCAAACAATTATATAATGTTATTGCAAACTGAAGCGACGTTATTCCAGCAATAAATGTAATTATCAAAAACAATTACTTTGTTCAAAATGTTTATGCAGAGCAATTATATAACCAAATAGACTGCATTAATACTACTTGCAAATTGATCATGCTGATTTGAAAAAATCTCTTAATTAAACAAATAATTCAAATAGAATAATACAAACTTATACGCATTCAGATTTTACATTCTTTGATGGATATAACATTACAATTGTATGTTTAATCTTTGACAATACCTGCATATTTAACCTCGTCAAAAGCCTTTCTTGCTTTCTTAAGTTCCTCATTCATTGTTAAAAGATCTTTCACTCTGGCATATTTCCTGGAATCCTTTCTTACTGCAAATATAAATAAATTAATAAATTATGAACTGAAAAAAATAACGTATTAAAAATATTTTCTCTATAAGAAACAGAAAGCTCTGAATAATTTACATATTTATTTAGATATTTAGGTACCTAGTCCTTTTATAATAAAATGAATTCTCAAGATATCCAGAAAATTCATATTGAGTCTAATGCTGTTTTATCGCATATTTCGTTTAATCAATATAACAAAATAAAATAATACATGTATTATGAAATTCCTTTGTCAAACAGCGCATGAGTTCTATGAAATAGAAATAGACAAACAGCTGGAGGTTGCATCCAACTCTCCTTACCATAGAAGGATTAAGAATACTGTATTTCTTAAATTAATAAATGTACATAAAGAATTAAATGTAAACTTTTTACCTAAAAATACAATATCTTCCACTTGAACTCGTCCCGTACGTCCAATCTCCATGGCTCGATGTGTCATCTCTGTTATGAACTCAATAACCAAATCCTCCAACAGATCGACGCTTTCCGTATAAGGATTCTGATCGTCGCCGAAGCCATACATCATACATCGTAGTTCTTTGGAGAAGAGCCGTTTCCTTCCACCAGGCAGAGTGCCACCAATTGGAATTTCTGCTTCTTCATCCTCAAACTGTTAATATAGTAAAGTATAAGTTTATAGCAAGAAATAATAATTATAATAAATAGTTAATTTCCAATAAATATTTTTTTATTTATTAAAAATTTTATGTAGGAAAAGTAAATATAACCTGTTCAAAATTTTCTTCAGCAGACATCGTTTTGTAAATTATTTAAGTTTAAAATCTTCAATAAACCGCACTTCCAACAATTTTAGTTGCTTGTACCTCTTTTACATCTTAGCCAATCGCATAATTAGTGTTTTCTACTAAATAAATATTAATAGTTTGATAAATCAAGAGAGATTTCACGATTTTACAACAAAAACTTGTTGCGTGTTCACACAGAAAGCAGGAAAGTAGCAGTCAATAAAAGTGAAAGCCGAAATTATCAATTACCAACACAAGTTCTGATTGGGTGCTGCTTTTTTATTTTCTCGAAATAAAATAAAAATTACAAAAAGATAAGAAAATCCATTAAGTATTAGCCAATTAAATTATGATATTCTAATAAATTTGCTTTTGTAATTTTTACCTCATTTTAAAATACACGATCAACTCATCAATCGCAAGATGTGAACGCGCCTTGAAGTACAGTGGAGTACTGGAGTAGTGGAGTGGCTGCTTAAAAGCTTTGAACGAAAACTATTTTTCTTTTTAACTGTCATTTGCATATTCATATCGTTGTAAATTTTGCAGTCACAATGTCCGATGATTCCGAATATGACGTAGAACAAGAAGAGATTGATATTTATAAAAGAAAATATCAATTACTATTGGATAAATGTGAACTTTTGCAACAGGTTAAGTCTCTTCCTTGTGGAACGAAAACATTATCGACAGTTTTTTTTCCGAAACTATATAGTATTTTTTAAACAATAGGAAAATGAAAGGTTGGTCTACAGAATCCAGAAAGTGAGGAAGCTTCTTCGACGCACAAGGAAAGAGAAAAAGTTAGTTTTATAGGTTATGTTGTTTAATATATAAAATCTCCTTATGTATCCATCATCCGTGACACTAATTCGTAGATTCTTGATCGATCGATTGGATCGACATGGAGATCGCTGGCGAGAAGCTCCAATGGGTGTACTTGAAGAGAACAGTGTGTTTCAAACGACTCCAAAATCAGAGAAAGGAGGAAAAGGTACCTCTCACAATGCTAAGGAGGATAAACCCAGAAAAGGAACGAAAAGAAAGGGCACGAAAGCTGATCCAAACGCACCAAAAAGACCCGCTAATCCTTTCTTCCAATTTTGTCAAGAACAAAGACCACGTGTGATGGAACGTTTAGCTGGAGAACCAGAGCCCAGTAAGCAAGAACTTACTAGACAACTGGCAACTACGTGGAAATCTCTCAGTTCTGAGGATAAAAAAGTAAGATGTAACGTTATATAACGCATAAATATTGACTTTGATTATATTTAAACTTCTTCATTACATATATATTGTTTCAGGTATATTACGACATGTACGAGAGATCCAAAGAGAAATATGTCGCCGAAATGCAAATATATAATAAGAAAACTGAAGATGCGCCATGTCAATTGCCAGTAAATATAACGTAATATTTAGCGTTAGAGTAAGGAATTATGGTAGATGGATAACCATAGTTTTGTAAAAACGGTACAATAGCAATTATAAAGAAGAAAGTTTACGAATGTTTATAGATAGCTCCGTGTGTCTGCTTTTGATTCACAAAGTGTGTTTATCAATACGCACGAGCAAGTACATTTCATCGACATTGATGTATATATCGATAACAAGAGCAAGAAACCAAGATAATCCAAGAAATTCTTACTCAGAAAACGTTACAATAAAAATAGAGGATACTGCGATAATAGTGTGATAACTAAAATTCAGGAAATTGAATGAACGACAGATGAATGAGAAAAAAGAGAATAGATATTTATTTTGTTATATTATAGGATGTCATGATGCATTATTTACGCAAACATGATAAAAGTCTCTCGTTTTGTCATCTCATATCTTTTACATTTCAACTTCATATTAACAACTGCATGTATTTGATAAATATAAAAACATTTTTTTAATTAGAAATTTAAGCTTTAAAGTTATCTTTCTCACGCCGTAAGTATGACATCGTCTGAATGGGATCATTTTGCTGTGCGTGTTTCATAACTGATGGTTCATGCACTCTCATAAACGGATTTGTCAGCTTTTCGTCTTTAATAGTGCTAGGCACTGTTGGAAGGTTATTGGTACGTTGAGTGTGCACTTGATCTAATTTTTGTTGTATCGCCACATTGTCGGGTTCCACGTGTAAACCAAATTTGAGGTTGTTGGCTGTATATTCATGTCCGCAATACACCTTCTGTAAGTTATAAGAATGATTTGTTTGTGTGAGAATTAAATTATAATTTTACTCGAGTATAACTTACTGTCTCTTCAGGTAAAGAGCCTAGAATTTCGATGAGTGCCTTATACATTTGATCTGCGGTACCTTCGAAAAATTTCCCACAGCCTCCAGCGAACAATGTGTCTCCTTTTAAACGAGTTAAACATATTTATTATATATTTTTTTTCTTTATTGTACGTTTAACTTTACCTGTGAAAACAGATGGTGAATGCTGTCCTTCTCCCGTAACATAGTAACAAATATGTCCGCGCGTGTGACAAGGTGTCGCGAGACACTTGACTGATAACTTGCCAATACTGAACGTATCATTGTGTGTAATTTTATGATTAATGGCTTCTACTCTATCATCTCCACCGTATATCACGAGATCAGTGAAGCTTTTAGATAGCTTGGCGTTTCCTCCAGCATGATCCCAATGATGATGAGTAGTCAAAACCTTTGTTAATTTTACATCATTTTCTCGGACAGCTGCAGTTACAGCTTCTGGATCGACAGGATCTACAATGGCAGCCTCCTGCGTTTCTTCATCGATAATCTTATAAAATTTTGAAAAATCATATGATGAGTGTGAAATAAAGGTAGTAAAAAGCTTATACGCTAACATTTTTATCATGACATTTATTGTATGACAGTTTGGTAAGTTTTTGACAAAGTGTTCATGTGTAAATAAGGCAGATTAAATTGAGTCAAAAAGTCCTCCACCATTTTGCAATTTTCACAATAATAGTCAATGAAATATTAATTTCTAAAGATTGTCAAATAAACAGATAATCGACACATATAAGACAATTTTAAGATCTCTTTTTCTCTCTCATGATTGTCTCTTTATAAAATATTTAAAAAAAGATTCTTAAAGAACTCTTAAATGTATCTTAAAGTTGTTTCATGCCTCAATTTTAGACATTCTGCTGACTAGGTAACTACAAAAAGTTGTAAAAATTGCAAAATAATACAGAAATAATATATATACAAAGAAAGAACATACCAAGTACATATAATTATCTTGGAGCGCTGGTAAGATTTGTACTTTCATGTTGGAATTATCTACTGTTGCGCTTAGACTATGTGATCTGCCGTTGAAAGAAGCACTCTTAACTGAAATATTACAAAAAAAATAAGTACAAAGTGTAATTTATATAGTGTATGTACATACAACTTTTGATGAATAAGCATAATTTATCTGAGGCACTTTTATTAATCATAAAATTGAAAATATTGACTGTTGTAGAATGAAGAAAAAGAAACAATAAAAATAAGCAAACTAAAAAATCGACAATATAATGCAAAACAAAATACTGATACTAGTGGTAGCAGTAATCACATAGTAATGTACATACGGTAGCTACTGACAGCACAAGGTGATGTCAAACGCAAATGGACAAATATTTACAACATACCCCTAAAATACAAAAACGTGAGTTTATTTTCAAGCCATGTTGGACATGCACGTAGTGCAATTTGACGAAACATGATGACAATGGCTTAAAAAGTAAATCGGTGCCTCATTTATTTTGTGCGCACAAAGCTTGTCACTCTTTATTACTTGCCTGATAACGTTACCCACCAGTATCAATGACTATATTTATACGGCACAATCGGTCTTAAAGTGCATTCAGATAACACACATCAAGTATCAAACAGTGAAAGCAATAACCAATCAGCGAGTCGATTGAGCAAGAATGTACTTTAGGCTTTAGGTCTGTTCTTTTTGGCTAAAGTCTCGCAATTCATCTTCTTCCTTTTCTCTCCACGTTGAAAAGAAAAAGAGAAAAGATGAACCATGCGGCGTGCACGGAGACAGGAAGTTCAGCTGAAAGCAAGAAGCATTTTATGCAATTTTATGTGTCATGTATAACATGGAAAAATGTTGTAGGTTAAGGTCAATAACTGTTCAATCTTCATAAAAAACAGGTGTATCTTTATGATTTGTTAAGTTTCGCGGTTTTTGGACTTCAACGAGAAGATATAATTGATTGAAATGTCTATTAACGACACAAAAGACGTAATTATGATAGATGACGGGTATCAAGGTTGGTTAAGTGTAAAACAAAATATTTGTTGTAATATTCTTAAAATCTATGGTACACATTCTTTGCTTTCGCACGTTATTTAAAATTCAACCTTTTTTTTTTCATATGGAGAAACGTCATTAATTAATTTCAATCTCAAGATTTGTATTTTCAAGATTTCTAGGTTTATGATAGTTTTTTTCTTGAAGTGTTATAAGTCCAATTTAAAAAAAATGAGTTATTGCTGGTTTTAATTAAACACAGATCTATGCTTGATTAAAATTGACATTAACTTATTTTTTTTTTTTAATTAGACTTATATCACTTTCAAAAGAAAAAAAAATAGCTTGTGTAATCGTTTATGATATTATTAGCTTAATTCCTTGTTAATGAGATTAGGTATTAAGAATTTGTTCTTGAAAATTTCAGTTACGGAGGACGACGAGATAAACGCCATCGATTATGAGCTGCAACAGATAGAGAACGAGCTGCAGAAATTGCAAGACCGTAAGAAATTGTTGACGCAAAGGAAAGAGAAATTGCGCGACGATGCTCTGTTGAAGAAGAGTTTTTCTCTGTCCAAGAAAAATTGGGACAATACAGATTTTGCTTGGTCTATAAAACTCACAGAAACATTAAAGAATGTATTCAAGATAGAAAAGTTACGAGAGTTACAATTACCAACTATGAATGCAATCATGTCTAAGGAAGATGTCATATTGATCATGCCTACGGGTGGTGGGAAGAGTTTATGTTATCAATTACCAGCTGTGATAAGTAAAGGTATAACGATTGTAGTTTCACCATTAATATCCTTAATGGAAGATCAGTTGTATGGATTGCATAAACTCGATATAAAGGCTAACATGTTATGTGCAAAGGCAGATAAGGAAAGTGTCAAAACGGCTATGACGGCCCTCATGGATAAAAACTCTCCTCTTAAATTGATTTATGTGACACCTGAATACATGGCAAAGTCCAATCGCTTCATGAATAAACTACAAAAAGCGTATGAGTTGGGGCACCTGGAACGGTTTGCGATCGACGAAGTGCATTGTTGTAGTCAATGGGGACACGATTTTAGACCCGATTACAAGTTCTTGGGAGTACTGAAATCCATGTTCCCTGGAATACCGATTCTGGGTCTCACTGCAACGGCTCCGGCCAAGATCATCGTAGACGTGCAGAAAATGCTAGACATTAGTGGTTGCCTAGTTTTACGAGCTCCATTCAACAGACCCAATTTATATTATGAAGTTCGTCGCAAACCGGCAGATAAGGAAACGTGCCTCGCGATGATAGAAAATCTGTTGAAGAATCGGTTTAACGGCAAGTCGGGCATAATTTACACGACCACAATTAAAGACGCGGAACAGTTGACAACTGATTTGAGAGACAGAGGTGTCAAGGTTGGATGCTATCACGCAATGCTCGAAGCCAATTACCGGTCAGAAGTTTACTCCAAGTGGATGTCGGGCAAGTATCAAGTGGTAGTGGCAACTATCGCTTTTGGATTAGGCATCGACAAGCCGGATGTGCGATTCGTGATTCATCATTGCGTTTCAAAGTCGATGGAAAATTTTTATCAAGAGAGTGGTCGAGCTGGTAGAGATGGCAAAAAGTCGGTGTGTCTTGTACTCTATAGATTAGCGGATATATTTAAATTGAGTACCATGGTATTTCAAGATAAAGTTGGATTACAAAATTTGTATAAAGTATTGGCGTATTGCTTAGATCAAACGTCTTGTAGACGGAGTTTAATAGCGACTCACTTTGAGGAAAATTGGAAAGAAAACGATTGCGCAGAAATGTGTGATCATTGTAGGAAACCTGGCGTTAGAAAGCAGATCGACGTAGCGCAGTACTGCAGACAATTGTATCAGATTATGACTAAGGCTGTGCAAAACGAAATACGATTGACTGCATTGAAACTCGTAGATGCTTGGTATGGTAAAGGTGTCTCGTCACTGCGAGTTTCTAACGTGCCAAATTTTACGAGAGAAACCGGAGAGGCTATTATAGGGTATTTATTGATAAACGGTTACCTGCAAGAGGACTTTCATTTTTCAGCATATTCTACGATATCGTATCTTAAACGCGGACCTAAGTCAGGATTGGTTCTTGACAACAATCACAAGATACTCTTTAACTATGAGCTTCACTAAACTATTGTTGCAATCGATAGTTCTATGAATCAGTGATTCGTAGAAGGGATTTATAACAAATGTTTAATTTTAATATAATATATATTGTTTAAAAAATTCTCTCTCTGTCTCTCTCTTAAAATTATATATCATGCATTTACATTATTTGGAAACTTACTACTTCATTTCAAATGGAAACAAAGCTCACACTTAATTGCAACATTCTGATTTAATCATGAAATAATTGAGATTCATTGTAATTTCATAATTGATGTTCTTTTAGTCTCCAATAAAAAAGAAAAAGAGAGAAAGAAATTGTATACAAGGTCCGGTCGAATAGCATATAAACGCAAGCACGATATGATTTCTTACAAAAGAATTAAAAGTTTTATATATATTTTTTTATTTTTTTTTACAATATGTTATTCGACCGGACTCTGTATATGGGAGAGAAGTTGGACGATCGATTAAAAGTGTAAAAGCAAAACGCGTTTACATGTGATGAGCACAGTTTCTTACGTTTTACGATTAAGAAGCGTAAAAACGGTGAATAATCGATAAAAACGGTCTACGAGGCTTATGGCAAATGTAGCGAGATGTCAGCGGGTTGGATAGTAGGATAGGCGGTAGGTTCCGTGATCAAATGGAAATATTGATCTAGGATAAGCGAGATAAGGGGGACATCCACATTTTTCGTATAATGCATCGCTGATGGAGCTACGCGCTTCGTTCCTGCCGTTGCGTTATCGAACGCACGTTGGACAATGAAGCCGAAATGCAACAGTTTTACAGCGGAAGCAATAGTGTGTCGCGTTTGCAGATTCTAGCGGATTTCATCAAAATCGGCGTACTTGCGCGGTAGCGGCAGCGACGACGCTCGCGCACTAAGCAGTATAAGAATGCCACCCTGAACGTCGGCGATTTGGAAACAGGGACGTTAATTGCCGTGCAGATGATTTCGACTTCGTCTTTTCTATCTCAATTCTATATCACGAGAGCAATGTTTCAGCAGTAACTCGTAACACAGTCGAGATATTGGAGGTTTTCGAGAATCTTTTTCCGGTGAAGAACAGTGAAGAGAATGGCAGAGTCTCACGTTTTGGAGTACGCGACTGCGTTATCGTGGAATTCGGAAGCGAGCAACGCGGAATGTCACTGTGACGCGGATACGCATTATCGAGGCTGCGTATGTAACGAGGCTAATTGAGGCGTGATAACGCCGTCGCGTGCGTAAGCGCGCATATATTCACGCTACCGCACGCTACGCAGAAAGACAAGTCGTCGTGAACTCTGGCGAGACGAATCCATCCGGTGCTTTTAATCCGATCACGTTCACCCTCCGCCCTACGTCCTCCTTCAACTGGCTCCGCTCGCAACCACGATGTGGCTCGCGATTTCAGAATTTCGTGAAACTCTTGCAACGGCACTTTGGTCGTGGCGCATCTCACAAGTAAGTGCGTAATGAACAATTCAGATTTTGCATATTAACGTATACAGCTATGTTAGGTCATTAAGTATGAAATGTCCATTTTTCGTATTATTATTATTATTAGTACGAAATGTGTGCACGTTTTTAAAAAAAAATTTGTCAGCTATACCGTTCGATTCTTAACAAAGTTATGAATAATTAATTATTTAAAATCAAAATGCTTCTATTTTATTTAATCCGCGATAACTCGCGTGACAAAAAAATCTTGGGAACAATTTAAAAAATAATCTTGTGGGAAAAGTTTTGATCTTTTATGTTAGAAAGTTGAAAATTTTTACAATTTTTTTGTAAGCACGTGACAAGCCTGGAAAAAATTTATACGTTATTCTGCTCATAGTTTTCTACATAAAAAAATTACTAAAATCATAGAAATTAAAAAAAAGCGGCTTTTTGAAAAAAAAAGAAAAAAAAGATTTTTCACTGATGAAGGCTGTGTAGCCGAAACGTTTGAAATTCATGTATGATGTCTTTGTAAGATTATATTAAATCTGAATCTTATGATATTTTAATTTTTAAGATCTAATTATTGCTCGTAAAGGTCGTACATTTATTGTTGTTTTTTAAAGATTTTAAGCTTTAAAACTCTTTTTTAATTTAAATTTTGTTCATTTTTTTGACGAAGCTATGGCTGCTATTAATAGTAATACAAAAATTCGACACTTCATTACTTAATGACCGGATTGTTCAGAATAGAAAAGTTTATGTTGTCTTTATACAGCGAAAACTAACTATTTATGTTGTCTTTTTACAGCGAAAACTAACGACGTAACTGATGTAATTCTCAGTAATCGCCCGACGACAACAATGCCTCTTCCAAATATTTTAAGGAAAGCGAGCAACTATATCCTTGGCGAGTGCGGCCAGGACAACCGACGCGTCATTTATCAAGACGGTGAGGCATTGTTCTGCAAAAATAACGTCTGCGTACACCCTCCTACGTTAATGAGACAGCATGCTGACGTGGTGCATCATCCTGGATACATGACTATAACTTGCAAGTTGAACAAGAATTCCAATTTGCCAACCTTGCACCTAAGCTGGATACCCAACAGCACATTGCGCAAACATCCTACAGCGTTGGAGAATCTGAGTGGTAGAAACGCTGCCGCGCGTCGGGACGACGATCCAACCTGCCTGAGTTCCCGTATCCCGGAGAATACGTGCAGCGATTCGCTCAACGTGCGGCGCGAGCTCGAAAACGAGAACGAAAATGAAAATAATACCGAGAACGATAACGGAAATGGAAAGCTAGATGTGTGCTTGGAGGCAAAGGAACCCGTCAATTGCGGAGACTGCGAACGCGTTTGTTCCAGTTCCGGCTACCGTTACGGCAATGACTTTCCACGTCACCAAGACTCAAGCACGGTCAATCGCGATGGCGAAAATGCCACCACTATCGAGATTGAGAATCGTCCGAATGCGGACTCGAGCAACGAGAAGAATGGGGATTTAAAAGAGCGGGACTTTAACGAGATAGACGCGAGGAGCATCGACGAGGAGCCACGCTTCTTGTACCGCGACGACGTGAGCGTCAAGAGTCGCAGTTTGTCATTAACGTCAACGTGCAGTTTCTCAATCTCGGTATCTACCGATGGTAGGATAGAAAAGATGGTAACCGCGGGTTGTGTCCTCGTATAATTATTGATACTAACGATGATGTTGTTTCTGTAGCGGAAGAGATGCCGTCGTGGATGAGGTCTCCGGAACTCCTAGCGTTACAACACAACCTTGTCTTTCCCGAAAGCGCGACCGCATCGCCTGTGACGTTGCGTAGAGCACATCGATGCAGAAGATTCTCGGTGGATCTCAGCGAGATGCGATCCTTGCGGCTATTTTTCGCCGATCCTGCTTGCACCTGCGGTCAGTTGGTCGTGGCGAGCAGGGAGAGCCAATACAAGATCTTGCATTTCCATCACGGTGGCTTGGACCGGCTAGCCGCCACCCTACATCAATGGCATCAACTGCTTTATCCACGCTTAAACACGGACACGGAAGAGACTTTGCCGTACAGGTCAGGCATAATTAGAATGTAAAATTGTTAATTTCTGTTATAATAATGATTTTACAACGTCGCATTGATACGATTGTCACGCGTTGCGCAGACATTTTATGGTATGTCGGCCAGAAGTGAGCCGAGATGAGCTGCATCCCGAGGAGGGTCAAGTACCGATGATCACGTCGTTAGCTTGGAAAGATTTATTGAATGAACGGGGCCAGATGGAGGATGACCTCGCTCTTCGTAAGGGAATATTTTTTGGTGGTTTAGAACCAGCGCTACGAAAAATCGTTTGGCCTTTCCTATTGCACTGTTACTCTTATCAGAGTACGTATGAGGATAGAGAACAGATCGACGCCATTAGACGGCAAGAGTATGAAGAAATACAGAAACGTAGACTGAGCATGAATCCAGAGCAAGCAGAGCGTTTCTGGCGAAATGTAGTATGCATAGTGGAGAAAGACGTTGTTCGCACGGATAGGGCTAATCCGTATTACGCCGGTGAGGGTAATCCCAACGTCGAAATAATGAAGTAAATATCCAGATAAACTTGCAGCTACTCTAATGTTTCTAAGAATCTCTTCTTTCTCTTTCTTCTCTTTCCTCTTCTCTTTTGGTCTCTCATCCCTAAATTTATACTGTTGCAATACATCGTATTATTGTGTGACTTGTTATCATTTCTCTTTCGTTTTTTCTTACAGGAATATTTTACTTAATTACGCAGTATACAATTGCCGCTTGGGTTACACTCAAGGAATGTCTGATCTCTTAGCTCCGTTACTAGCCGAACTCAACTCTGAAATCGAGGCCTTCTGGTGTTTCGCGGGTTTGATGCAAAGATCGGTAGCCGTGTGCACTCCGACGGATACAGATATGGATAGAAATCTGTGTTATCTTCGAGAATTAGTAAGAATCATGGTACCAGATTTTTATACGCATCTTCAAAGACACGCGGATGCTTTAGAGCTTCTTTTTTGTCATCGATGGATACTCTTGTAAGTACAATTATGTCCCGTATACATCATATAATAGTAGAAACTATGCTACAGTAAATTTCACATAATTTTTAGCCCGCATAATTTTATTTGTATTCACTTTTTTCTCGATACAGATGCTTGAAAAGAGAATTCCCAACCGAAATAGCATTGGTCATGTGGGAAGCCTGTTGGGTCAATTATTTAACAGATCATTTTCACTTATTTCTTTGCCTCGCTATAATGTGCGTTTATGCGGACGACGTGATCGCCCAAGATCTTCGAACGGACGAAATGTTGCTGCATTTCAGTTCATTGGCCATGTACATGGATGGGAACATTATACTTAGAAAGGCACGAGGCTTACTTCATCATTTCCGTCAACTCGTACGCTTACCTTGCACATTAGCCGGACTATGTCGACAATGTGGTCCAGGAATGTGGGATAGTGCACATGATCCGGTAATAGAGTGTGTAGGTCACGAGGATACGCACTGTCCCTATTTAAATAATTACGAGTAACTGTCTAATTTATAGAAGAAGAAGAAGAAGAAGAAGAAGAGAGCTCATCAGTATTACTTGACGTACAGATTAACTCGTTTCGTCAAATTATTAGATAATTATTAAAGTCCTTGTTCTCTGCACGGATTTTTCTTTATAACAAACTCTGATTAGTAGTCTATAAAGAGTCTCTTGTAAACATTAATATTTACAAAATGTAACGAATCTAGCCATTATGCTCTCTGGATCTACAGATATGCGAACAAATTCTATTGTCATACGCGACGATATGTGATATACATCTTTGTTTTTGTTCAAACTATTTTCGAGTATTTTTTGAGGTAATCAAGGATAAAAAGAGTAAGGCAAGAATGTGTAGCCTGTATTAATTACTTAACAATATTAATTTCTACGTTATATGTAACGCACGCATGTTGATATCTCGATTTAAATCAATCGATTTAAATCAACCGAAACACGAAGACACATATCTCAAAATACAATTCCAAATCAAGTTGATTATCGAGTAAAATAATAAGTTTACAAGACTTTGACACCATTGTATATCAATAGATAAATATGGGTGTATTTTCGTTATCCAACCAGAAACAATCGCGCCTAAAACTATCTTCATTTTTTGATCTCTAAAAACGAAGATAGTCTTAGGCTGTACTCGTTTCTGGTTGAATAATGAAAATACGTTTTATGTGCAGTATTCGTAACGTTCAAGACTGACGAATGAAAAGAAGGGATAACTAGTACAAATTAATTTCCGAATGTACGCAGCTGGGAGAAATCCATCTATTCTCACTAAATATCCCAATTTAATTTAATCTAGGGAAGCTCGTCCGTTGGGAACCAAAAGGAGAAATCAAATAGTCTACATACATGTACACGAAAGTGCTATTTATTGTAAATATGTACCCGAATCGTGCAGGGTATACATTACCCACAATATAGCATATATGTTCACTCCAAAGTGTTCACTTGCGTTCGTATACATACGACACATTCTCGTACACATATGTGTAATTTTACATACGTAAAAAAACAGCGTAATACTTTTTTTTTTCTTTCTTGGTTTGAGATGCAACGTGACAAATTTTCGCTTATTGAAAATGATCAAACGTAATCTTTCGCTAAGCGCACAGGTTGCACCTATAATCATTGTTACCCTTTGGAATTTACTCGAAAACAAATACAAAATTATTGTGATAAGCTAATTTCACCGAACAATTCTAATTTCTCTTAATAGATTACCAATTTGTCTTTTGTTTATTATAATTATTATTGTCTAGTCTGTTATCACAGATAAACGTAAAAATCAAGTTGCTTTATAATATTCAAGATTTTACAGATACTGTGCCTAAATAACAAAAAATTGTAATGCATTCCACGCTAATTCACTTGATCAGGGACATGAAATTTTATCAAAAATAGCTTTTATCGCGCTTTTATCGTGCTATCTGGTATCGTTGAAATCTTAAAGAGAAATCTATCTGTGTTAAGGTCTGTTTCAAGCAGATCTCAGTTTGAAGTAAATACAAGAACGTAAAAATGTGTATGTAGTGCGTGCACGCGCGCACGTGCTGGTGCGAATAAATTGATAGAGGAACTTGTATAATCAACTATTTATTATTATCCGTTTCAATTGCTTTTTACGCGCGTGCATGCATGCGTGTGTGTACACAAACACACACAGCACACATGCTCGCACGTATGTATATGCGTATGCATATACTCACAATATTCTTTATTATATACTACACTTGCACAGGTACACAGGTATGACGGACATGCTGCAAATACCATTTTGGCAGTTTCATACATATTTTGTACAAAAATACAATCTCAAAAAGAACATTATATCATCGTAATATCATACTTTTACTCTTGCCACTACTATCACATACGCTAATATTTTCATTATAAATACATAAACATGAATTATTTTAGCGTATAAAAAAATATAAATACAAATGACGGAAATTCGTTATATAGAGTCTCTATATAATAAAGAAAAATCACGCACACTTGCCTCAGGACAAATAAGTAAAATATATGTATAAACATTTTTTTCTACAGATTTCTACATTTCTAAATGTCTCCTACGTTGAACTTATTTATATTTGTCCTGTACATGCCGACTTGTGTGCCGAAGTATTGTCGGTTTACTGTATGTATGTATGAACATATCCTGCCACAAATAATGATTGCCTCAGTTCAGATCTACAATAGGTGTTTCAAGCCTTAAACTGTAAGAAATGGATGCATCATAGTCGATTATTCTCTTTACATTAGATTGTAATTGTACAATTTCTTATAGCTTAAGGTTAAGACTATTACATTTATCGTAGATCCGGACTTTCTACAATAAGTCAATAAGCTTAGATAATAGCTTATTATAAAATACCTATTATTTGTCAATATTCCGTTGAAGGATTTCACAGATCGTATTGTATCATTGCTCTTATCTCGTTTTTATCACTTCAGTTACTCAATTCACATGCTCGATGTTTATACCAATATCGACTGACTGTTGGCTCTGGGTAATTCTAATATCCACATTTTTGCTGTTGAGAAATTTTGAAACTTATCAATGGATATCCGTAATCAAATTTCTTGTAAACATCCTGCATTCATCTCTATGATAGAGCTTTTAGCACGAACATCAAGTTCTCTTCTTTTTTGTGGCATAAATCATATTGATTTTCTTATTAACTGACCCAAGATTGCAAATGTATTTGCATGAAATTCACCGATACTAAAATCATACAAGTAATAGCCCATACTACAACAAAAATTAACCAATACCTGCCCGAGAAAGGACTTGCGAATTTGTTCATGACCCCAAGGCCGATAACTTTGTTAGTCTTTTGCCTGGCATAATAAACTAAAAACGTAGGTATTAAATATTGTATCCCTGCTCCAGCGTACGAGCCTGTGATACCAACTAATATTGACAGATCTTTGGTAATAATTGCTATCAGGTACGGTGGTATTACCGCCAAGACGGGGAAGACGAGTTTTCGAAGACATAAATTGTAGGACGTATCCTCTTTTAAAAAGAGTGCCTGTAAATTATTTCGGAGTGTAATTGCTATAATGGGAAAACTGGTACTCAAAGTAAATACCGGGAAAAGGGCTAAGAAATATTCCATAAGAAGCATAAAAATATTGTCACTCTTAGAACAATTGCCTAAACCACGTGGTCCAAAGTCCAAAGTATAAAGATCATCCAAGCGCTCGAAGGCGAAGATACCAGTTAGAGCTAATAGTAAATAAAAGAGAGCGATTAGGGTATAATCGAGAGCTAGAAATCGATTAAGTTTAGACTTATTCGTTATTGGTGCAACCAAGGCCGGTAACGAATGATGACACATGAAGGAGTAAATGCAAGCACCGAAAAGACTGGGAATTCCTAAAATGATGATTAATAGTATTACTCGTTGATACTTATTCACAATTATTCTATACCTAATGATACTAATCTGTTAATAATCATGTAAATTGACGATAATCATTAATAATTAACTTTTCAGCTTACCGGCTAAATTTGCGATAGGTGGATTGCCACGAGGGCCGTGTACAAAAAGACTTTTTACAGCATATACAATCATTATAGTAAATGCGAACCATCGCATTATTGAAGTCAGTAGTTGAAGATACTTGGTTTTTTGAACATTGAAGAATACGAAGGGACCCAATAATAATACGAACATAGTCTGAAAATAAGAATAGCTTAACAATTATTATCATGCCATTGATGCTTTGGTATTCCTTTTTTGTGTTTATAGCGTTTGTAAGCATCGCTAATCTTTGTTTAATATTTGAGAATAAGGATAAACTGATGCTTAGAATGTGTTAGTGTGAAAACAAAACACATCCTTGATCTTAGCAAAATGAAAGCGAATAATTCTAAAGTGCCAAAATGTTTGTGTGTGTGTGTGTGAATGCTAGAAGCAGTGGAATTTATAAATTGATGACATACCAAAAACATTCTATATGCATCCAGTCGATTAAACATAGAATCTTCCCAACAAAGTTCAGTATCTGGTACGGTGTCATTGCATGTAAGATTTTTTGGCAAATAAGTGCAGGCGACATCTGTTAGTGACTTTGCGACTGCCGCACCATAAATGCTTAAATCTCCATATAGATATATGGCAAAACATAAATAAAATAGAGTGGTGCCAAATCTGTTGAAAAAGATGGATGCCATCTGTCCCATTTCTATTTTATCACAAATCACATAGTATCTACAAGCCATATCCGAATGATCTGGACTGGTCAAAGGAGGAGCTACCAATGGAGTGTCCTCCGAATCTGAATTGGAAGGAGCAGATTCACCTGTCGTCTGTAAAACCTGAAAAGTATTTCAGTTTGCAGTGTTATAACATGGGTATATAACAAAAAATGGTACATGTATCGCTGCTAATATCAAATAAGCCAATGTGTCTCTTGCCATAACGTTACCTTGCACATCTTTCTAAAATATCTGTAGTACACTCAGCTGGCCTTTTTATACAAAGCTAAACAAGTTGGAAAACACTTACGCGTTTTCGATGCTGAGAATGCCTCCACATAACGATAGCATTGGCAGATGCCATTGCTTCTATGACAAATGTAACCGTGATAAAACTGTACGAAAGAAGAGATGCAATGAGACGAAACGAGTTTAGATCCACGATGTATGAATAGCTCTTTCTACTTACCTGATGAACGCTAACACCAAAATGACACTTAATCCAAGTGCCCATCCTGCTCGACTGAATACAGCTGGTAAAGTTAAAGCGCCTGTTCCAACGATGAGGTTGAAGATATACACGAGCCCAACCTACGGTGGAGATTTGTTTGAGTGAACGATTTAATCTACTGTTTATCGACTGTGAAAAAGAAGCTGGAGGACGCTGAGGTTAAGGTCAGTAAACGCGCGGTGCGTCAATTACGGTATACAAGGGCAAATTAAGTCCAACTTTTCCTTACCCACGTTGGATACTGATCGCTGATACTCTCTTCGGGCATCTCTCTTTTTCTCTCTCGAGTCGAACCAACGTTAAACTGTCAAACTACGTGTAGGATCGAGGATGTCGCGTCGTGTAGCGTCTCATTCATGTACAACCCATGCATCTACTAGTCACTGACAGGCGCCAAGCCGCCACCGACTTATATCGTTCCGTACTTTTCCATTGATACGATAACGCAACTGTGTATTACAAAGATATTGACATGTAACCATGTGTTTCATTGTCGTTCGAAATCAGCCATGTCAAATAAAAAATACGTATAGATATATGTCCGAGAAGAAGAGAGACTGACGGGGAGGACGCGGAGGGAAAAGGGATGGGTAACATAGTGATTTTTTCTCGCGTTTAACAAGTACCTATTTTTTTCTCTCAAATCGAAGATTTCAATTTCGAATTATTGGAAACGTCGCTGACTTTTCATTGCAGAGCAAATACAGATGATTAATCGACAAATGTTCTACAGCAGAATAAAGGAGACACGTCATTTACAAACGTTACTCCGAAATCAACCGATCATATGATGCGCTTGCCTATATTTTCATTTCAGCTTAAATGATGGATAATCGTTGATAATAAACAATTTTGTTTTACACAATTTCATAAACTTTCAAAAGACAAAGAATCGGTGTTTTGTGTTGAATTCAGGCATAAAATATGATATTATCTCTTGGAATATTTCAATTTCGACCGCAATCATTTTATATAATCTATTACTATTACTATCCTTTTCTTTGTAGAACCAATTTTTCATCTATCTGTTTTAATTCGTTAATCCAGTCGCTTTTTTCTTTCTTATCAAATGATTTGGAATTTAAAGACAAACCTCTCTAGAGGCTCGTCTATCAATTACCTGCGGAGTGTTTTAATCTCTCGGAATTATTTTATAATTATAAATTCTTTGACCAATTAATTAGAGAGGATCTTTCTTTACCAAAAATATCAAGGTGTGCAAATAACTTTTAAGTCGAGTGATTAAAAAAGAGGGAAAGCTTTGCAGAGCTCCAAGAATTCGGATAGATGAGAAAATTTTAATCTTTCAAACTTGGTAAAGAAGGGATAAAATTTCAATTTGTTTTACGGATATATACAGAACTATATATATATTGAAATAAACATTTAAAAACTCGTATAAAGATCGACGTGCACTAAACGTAAAAATTATAGGAATACGAGAAAAGTTTATAAGATTAGCAATTTATCAGTTCCCTCAGAAAAGAAACGTGGAGAGCGAAAGGTGTTAAGACGAAGGTTTGGGTTCTTCATAAAAAAAAAATCACAATCGTATTTTTCAGACTTTTATTTTATAATCCCATAAGTCTAAAGTAGTCTTTAAGATGTGTGTACGTGAATGGTCTTGCGCAATACAATGGGAATAAATTATAATACTTTGGCTAACTTACGGGGTCGAAACCGTGGGTGCCTATCATTTTTCCGTTTATTTTAGCGAAAACGTTGGTAAAACTTTTTCCCGGATCAGCGGTTTACCCCTTCGTGTAAAAAAAAAAAAGGAAAAAAAAAGAAAGAAAAAAGAGGGGGGAAAAAGGCCATATTTTCCCTCAACGATAGGCAAATTGTAATGGAAAACAGAATAAACAGGTAAGAAGTCAGAGGTTTGTCTCTGCGCGGAATGACGTACAATGTATGTTCAGTTTTTACGCAAGCATCTCTTAAAAATACCGCACATTGATCGGAATGCATTGATCGACGTTGATTGCCATCATGTCCGAACTCTGCCGTCTCTACCTACGAGAAGAGTAATCAACGGTCCCTCCCGCGACAGAAACTTTCGAGTTAATCGCGTGAACGTTCCTCGACCGACAATCGAGGTTTACGCGTACGATGTTCTACGGGAGAGTCTAACGGAAAAGAAGCGTTTTACTCTCGCGTTGAGAGAATGTCTCGCAGGGAATGTTTGGCTAAATGCTACCGTAGACACAAGTTTTATTCAAATATATAATACAAAGGACTCGATACAAGGTAGAAAAAGGTATTCAGAAATCGGGGCACATGTTTAAGATCGTTATATCGAATAGATGAAAAACGATGGAAAATGGCCACGTTTAAAACGAGCAAGAATGAGTGGTCGACTTATTTTGTTGTGTTGCCGTCAAGACAGAGGAACATCGTGGAAGGAGGGCGATATATCGTAAGCTCCTCTCTCTCTCTCTCTCTCTCTCTCCCTTTAGCGTCGGAGACGCTTACCTCACGCGTATCTTAAACACGTACATCCGAATTGAAAGAAGCTACCTTTGCCCCAAGGAGGAACCAGAGGGCAATCGTCGCGGAAGTTGATGTTACGTCCGCCTGCGAAACGAGACAAAAGCCCCTCTTTCTCTCTCTCTCTCTCTCTCTCTATCTCTCTCTCTCTCTCTCTCATTTCTCAAAGTCTCAGGGATCGGGGAATGATAGTGGATGTGATCGAGAACGCGTGTTTAGAAGCACTTCCTGTGAACGATGGAGGGTCCGGACTCGTCGTATTCCTGCTTCGAGATCCACATCTGTTGGAAGGTGGAGAGCGACGCGAGAATCGATCCACCGATCCATACGGAGTATTTCCTCTCGGGTGGGGCGATAATCTTGATCTTCATAGTAGATGGAGCTAAGGCAGTGATCTCCTTCTGCATTCTGTCGGCTATGCCAGGATACATGGTGGTACCGCCGGATAGAACGGTATTGGCATACAGATCCTTACGGATGTCGACGTCGCATTTCATGATCGAGTTGTAGGTGGTCTCGTGAATGCCGCAAGCTTCCATGCCCAAGAACGACGGTTGGAAGAGAGCCTCGGGGCAACGGAATCGTTCGTTACCTATGGTGATGACCTGACCGTCGGGAAGCTCGTAACTCTTCTCCAGGCTGGAGGAGGAGGCCGCCGTGGCCATTTCCTGCTCGAAGTCGAGCGCGACGTAGCAGAGCTTCTCCTTGATGTCGCGAACGATTTCTCGCTCGGCGGTAGTCGTGAAGGAGTATCCTCGCTCTGTGAGAATCTTCATGAGATAGTCGGTCAAGTCGCGACCGGCGAGATCCAAACGGAGGATGGCGTGCGGCAAGGCGTATCCCTCGTAGATCGGTACGGTGTGAGAAACACCATCGCCTGAATCCAGCACGATACCAGTGGTACGACCGGATGCGTACAGCGACAGTACAGCTTGGATCGCCACGTACATAGCGGGAGTGTTGAACGTCTCGAACATAATTTGTGTCATCTTCTCGCGATTAGCCTTTGGGTTCAAAGGTGCCTCGGTGAGAAGGACCGGATGTTCTTCTGGAGCTACTCGCAGTTCGTTATAGAATGTGTGATGCCAGATCTTCTCCATGTCGTCCCAGTTGGTAACGATACCGTGTTCAATCGGATACTTGAGCGTCAAGATACCTCTCTTGGACTGGGCCTCGTCACCGACGTAGGAATCCTTCTGTCCCATACCGACCATGACACCCTGGTGGCGTGGCCTGCCGACAATCGAGGGGAAGACGGCGCGGGGAGCATCGTCCCCGGCGAAACCAGCCTTGCACATACCGGATCCATTGTCGACTACGAGCGCGGCAACTTCCTCGTCGCACATGTTTGCTCACTTGATTTATCTACGGAAAGGAAAAATCACAATTAGCGAATGCAACAGAATTTTTTCGCGTGTATATATACGTTACTAATTAACGAGATTAAAATTAACATATTCTCTTTGTACTCTTTTCGTCGAGTGTCAAAGACTTTCCGAAAGAAAACCGAATGACGATTGCAACCTCGAATTGTGGCTTTCCTATATATATATACATATAAAAAAAAAAAACTGGAGAAACTTTATTGGAAAACTAACGGAAGCTAAGTATATCGATGAATAATTAGCCGGTACACGCTTTCGAAACTCGTTTAAGATGGCGTTGGAAAACACGATATATACACGCTTCGGAAGAATTATACGATTCCATCATTCGAGACGTGAACGATACACACGTTTATCGAGAGAATATTAAAAAGAAAGGAGTAGTAAAGAAAAAAAAATGAAGACTGCTCCGAGCAAACGCGAAAGCAACGTTATCGTTAATTATCAGAACCGCACCCTGTCTCTTGACCTACCCGCTCCGCCCCGCCCCGCCCTGCCCCACCCGGTCTCACTCCAACTCCGTCCTTTCGAACACTGTCACAGCCGGCGATAACGAGGTGAACGACAAACAACCGGTGTCTCGAATCAAATATAATTTTCAACTTGACGATAAATAAAATTTTACCGCCGATTACACGTCACTGACACCAACGCAAACTGCACCAGACTAGGCACTGAAGATCGAGATCGAAGTGTGAAATTTGACCATTGAAGGATAAAGGAATTTTACCTCCTGCTATCTTGATCGGTCAAATTTCAATCTTTCAATCTTCAACGCGTAATCCGATTCCATCAGCCAACGGTATCCTCGAATTTCCTCTCGCGGCGCGTTTTCCGGTACATATAGCAACCTAATCATTGGCTGCGGAGAAAGCAGCTTTGCAAAAACTGTTGCGAAATTCTTTGACTTTTAATACGATTGGTCTTGCCTCTCACTGGATCCACCTGTGCAACCCAATCGCATGAAAGAACGTAAAAGAATACGCGATTTTTGTTGGATACATTCAGACGGCGGAGCAACATCCTCACACAATTGAACCACTTTCGACGCGCTTGCGCGCACCACCCATAGCGAGATGCACATTCACCATCTTGTCGTTCGCACTTTGTACATATACATGTGATATATCCGGCATTCGCGGTCGCCACGCACTTTACGAATTCTCTAATCCTCCCTACGAATTTATCTCCGCTTACGAGTAATCGTGCGATCGCCAGCACTTCGCCTTATAGACTTACGTTTCGTGTGAAAGATTCAAGAGTTATGTACAAGTTTTGAAGAATAAGCGACACCGCCCGCACCGATCCACCGCCAAACACAGAGTGTAGCCGAAGATCGGGGCTCGCGGTGTATTATATGAACAGATGCGTTGTTCCCACTCGGCCTGACACTCGGCGAATAAGGGTGGGACACCCTCGACCAATCCTGGCTTTCTTTACCATATATGGAAGTACTCTGACACAGAGGGGTTTCCGCAGCCTCCCTCCCACTCTCTCCTCTCGCGATATATCGCTACACCTCACCACCCCGCGTCGTCATCCGGCCCGCGACGACGCAACGGGTGCGCGACGTGTGACGACACCAAGCCGGTCGGATCCGCCGACCGGTGTGAACGTATCAATCTATCGAGTCCGACTGTCAAATTCATGACATACACATTACACGTCATGCGTCAAACTCTCCGATCGAATAGATTCACATCCGGCGAGCGTCCCGCTTGCCGTTCTATCGACTATACCACGCGGATTGTCCGCGACTCGGGAAAGTCGGGAAATGCGGCGAACGCGTGAAAATGGAATTTTCACCGGGACATTTCTGCTCCTAATCGCGTCTCGTCACGGTCACGTATGATGATCTCGCGCCGTTGCCGAAAAGCGAGAGCGCGCGGATCCTCTCGCAGGTAGTCGTAGGTTAGTAACGCAGTCGCTGCTATTAATAGGACATTGGCGTCGTGCCACAACCACCTGCGTGTCCCGCGTTGCTTTGATACGTAAACGTCTTATTACGACCACTTGACGACGCCGGACAACCTGTCTCTCGATGCAACGTGGCAACGGGAAAGCCGAAGGAGATCCGAAAAAAAAAATGGAGTAGACCCCGCTCGTTAAATTTTCTACTCACCCGCGCCGAGACTGTATAAAGAACCGACCGAGAACGCGAGGAGCGACGGTTCGAGGAAAATACAGCGCGTAGGTGACGACGCGACGTGACTCTCTTTCCACGCTCTCTCTCTCTCTCTCTCACTTACCTCTTTCTGTCTCTTTAGTAAAAGGCCGTTAAATGCCGTTCGCGCGTGCAATTGGAATACGGACGGGAGTCGGCTAATCGGTCAGCAGGCGACAGAACGAACACCGTGCAGCACCGCGAACGCTGTGAGCAAGATCGTCCGAGCGGACAAACCGTGAGCCGCGAGCAAGCCGGTATCGCGCGCGCCGCTCTGCGCCGCGCCGCGCCTCGCCGCGCGCGCACGTCACACGTCACGTGGACTCGTCCGAAGGTGTGGTCGGTATGTGACATCCCGACATTTTTACGGACTCCCTCGCACCTGAAATTTTCTCCTTTACGCCGTCATTTTCGGCAGGGGGCTCGCGCGATCGCGGCGAGAAAGCATCGTGTTCTCCGCGCGATCGACGAACGAGGCGGGCACGCTCGTTTCACGTACGATCGGCCGTCTCCAGTACCGTACGTATACCGATCACCCTTCGCCGTGCAATAGACTCGTCCGTCCAACGTTCTCCCACCCCGCGGATTCACAGCTCTTGCCATATATGGGCATAAAACGAAAGCGACGCGCCGATTGGTCCGTCGGCCGGCTAGCGGCTAGATTCTCCAAATGCCGTTTCAAATCGTACGATACCGGAGAGCGTGTCTCTCTCTCCCTGGAAGTGTGTATGCCAACTCGCTTGAAAATTAACCGTCGTCGTCCGTCGTAGCGTATACGCGAGACTCCTACGAGTTCGTACAACGACATTCGTCGGCGGGGCGCGCGGTCATGGGATTCCCTTTAAATATTCCCCGATCAGTACTTCAAATTACATCTCGAACACGTGGCTCCATTCGCGTCTCACGTTCAGAGAATTATAGAAAGAATATATGCGCGTGTCCCACCTTGACGATCTCGACTTGTTCGCAACGGCTTTTCGAAGAAATCGATGATTTCAAAAATATCACATCGAATGATACTCGGAATATTCCGCGGAATTAATCACCGTCGGACGTGACGCGTGTTTCGCAGCGTTATATCGCACGCTCTGCGTTATGCCGCATCCGCCAGGATGTCCCATGGCATCTCTCCCGCGTATAATTGCGTGAATTCCTACGTATTCTCTCTCTTTACAGAGAAATGGTACGATCCGAGTGCGTAAATCGATGTAAGCTCTATACATAAGTCTATTCAGAGAGGCGTGAGAAAGAATCTCAGACCTCTCGACTGAAATCCCCAAAAATGTTGGTACTTGAAAAACGGAGTAAATATACATATATACATTCGCGTTGAAAGGAGAGATAGAGAGAGAGAGAGAGAGAGAGAACGAAGATGCCAAGTGCAAAAAGTGCAAGCAACGCGAGCAGACCTGAGGTAGAGGTAAATTCAAGGACAGGAGTACCGAGTGCGTTGCACTCTTTCGCCACGTCATACGCTTCAGGCCCTACGGTCTCGTCTATCGATGTAACGCGGACTGTGCGGTTGATACGAATTACAGACAGACGTACGGACGGACACAACGGAGAGCGAGCCTAGAGAGAGAGAGAGAGACCCGCTTTCAAAATCGATATACGCTTCTTCTCGGAGCTGTCTCATGATTTTCTCACGAATGCACGACGGGCGTGCGAGGAAACGAACACTATTCGCCGATCAACCGCCGAATCGTTACGTGTTTCCCATGCGTTTAACACACGTCCGATGATTCACCCACGAGATGACCGCGTGCATTCGAGGAACGCTCGTCAGAAACGCCCGATTACGTTCGAGTCATTTAAACGATTTCGTGACGCCGGCGATCGACGTGAGACGATTAATATACATGCACGTGTATTATTATTATTTACTCGCGTCTACTCGCAGTGACGTACAGCACCGATGTATCCGCGTATCTCTCGGTGTGCGGATTAGTCAGTCCGGCTGTCTCTCTCTCTTTGAATAAAACAATTAACTCGGTTACCCTAACGTTCGCGCGTCCTAAAGACCCAATGACCCAAGATATCTCGACCTTGTCCACCATATATGGTCTCGCGCCAAGGTCTCGAAAGACTCCCAAGCCGTAAGGATCCCGCGACCGTTGAACATCGGCGTTCTCCTTAGCACGAACGTGACATGTTTTAATCGATGCAAGTTATCACCGTGATGGAAGCGACGACTCACGATCGGAACACGTCATTTGGATGAATAACAAACGAGATACACTAAATTCTATGCAGAATCGTAAGGTCGTAACGTGCTCTCGTAAGACTTGAAGGAACTTTTCAGCGCTTACAGACGGTTTCTTACTATAGCCGTGTGAGATTTACGAGAAATCGTAGATGTTTACTGCACAGTGAGAAAAAATGTCTTAATTTCAAAGAAATAATTCTTTGCTCGTATTAAAAAAAATTATTTCATTAAAAATTTAAAAATTATTTCTATGAAATTGTACAATCGTACGTTTTACAAATTTTACGAGAATTAGTTACAAGTCTTCTTAGAATTCTGCTTTAGAATTGACCCGTAAATTTGTCAAATCAAGAATACGACGAATAAACTCGAAAATACTTTGAAGCGTTTGATGGACCAATCGGAAGAAAGAATTTTACAAATTGACCAACGTCAAAAATACTTTCTAAAGCATTTGTAGCACTGTGTTGACTATACCCTTATTAATGTTACTTATCGCGGATCTTCCAACAGATTCAATTCGCGATGATTCGCGAGGACTCGTAACGAGCGAGGATTAATGTTGCCCGCAAGAAAATAGAGGCTTTTCGATCGTTAAACGTTATATCAAAAAAATAGGCGAACGGATATTGCATTGGCACCAGCACCAATAATATTTGTGAGGTGAGAACATTTGATTCTGTCATCGCAATGCCGCCAAAATGCGCGCGCATAACTCGATTTACCGAGAAAGAAAGGAATACAACGAACACTTTACTGTAAAATATAATATTTAAAACAACATCGATTATAGATTGTACGTACCGTGTGACCTCCATATGACTACCCTTTTTTATCTTGCAAATTAAAGGTGATAACCGTACGCAACAAATGTCAATGTAAATTTAAATGGTTTATTGATGATTAAATTGACTCTGTTGTAAGCACAACAATATACGTGATCATCTGTAAAAATTTATCTATTGTAATAGATTGGAGAGGCATGCATAACTTTTTTATAACAACGTGAATATTCTATATAATAAAGATATAGCGTTTCTTGTCAGAAATATATATAACAAATATTATTTTACGAATTATTAAGTTATCTCGATTTGAACTTTAACTCGTTTCATTTTGGATGGCTACTACTTTTATAAATAATTTTTGTAAGTAATCATTCTTAATACAGAGTTTATGATTTAAATCATTTATAATTTTATATCTATTATATTCATATATATATATATATTTATTATATTTGTATATCTATTATATTTCTTACATTTAGTTTACGAGATAAAATGAGATGATGACTTATGATGAAATATAGCGTAAGATTGTATTAACATGATTCTTAAAGGATATTCTATTCAATATAGTCTTGTAACAGTATATTCGATTGACGCCAACATTCGGTATGTGCAAAAGGATCTCAACTATTGCACTCTATTCAATGCTAATTGATCAGCTAACTTATGGTTACAGCTAACTAATGGAATTCAATTACTTGTATGTACTGGGTTAGTGCATATTAAAAAAATTGCTTTATATAAAAGTATTTAAATGCAGTGGGGTATATTAGATAGATGTAATCAACTTTTTTTGATAATAAAGTAATATATGTATATTCTATTAAATAACGTGTGACAATATTATCGGATATTTAATCGTTTAAATAATATATTTATATGTTTTTACATTTAACTTGGCTAATATTTCATCTAGATTTAGCAGATTTTAGCATACATTAATTTAGTGATTTAGTGTAATGCAAGGGAGATCGAATGCGCCTTTATTTTATGTAACAGAGAGAAATTTTTCCCACAGGTATACTAACTCATTCTATCGAGTATATTTCGATTGTTCTATATATTCCTATTCGTTCCGACGATACCAGACAATAAAAAGTGTCTGAAATCGAGTCATAAGTGTTTTTTTGTGTCTAAAAGATGACTTAAGACTTATATCACAATTTTAGACTTTGTGTTGTTTGGGTTGCTATTAAAGAGCGTCGATTCGATTCTTTTCCGTCCTCACAAAAAGGGCTCGGAGGTAACTGAAGAACGCTGACATTATCGACAATTGATATAAATTTTCAATTATTAATATAAACATTTATATTTAAATTATTATTTATATATATATATTCATTATTTTTTTTATTATATAAATACTCTATAAATAAATATGTCTATTTGTAATGTTATAACATCTTATTGTCATAAAATTACAATTTTTTATCTCTGCAGTTATCATCTCTGCCGTTAATCAAACCCAGATGATATTATAATCAATTTTAAATAAAAATCGAGTATTACTGAATTTTACACACATTATAGATAATACACATCTACGAAATAAATTATAAAATAAATATTATATTATCGATTTCTTATTCTTAATTACATAAATTTTAAGTTTCAGAGTGAACAGCTTTAACAGGGACGCGAACTCCCATAAGAATGCTGGTCTTTAATAGCACAACTCGAGAAACACTTTTTAAACATAGACGAATAAATTTGGATAATTAATGGAAAGCAAATAAATACGTACATATTTATATACGTCTGCTCATAAGAGAAAGAATCGAGCATAATTGTCTGATGGCAGACACGTATCCCTTCGGTGTTCGTCTTTGCAGCATGACACATTCGCATGGATTAGTCATCATCAGTCCCACATTGCCTCGTCTTGCGTCGCGTCGCCTAGTATCGCGTCATGCGAGTGGAACGTTATGCTGAAAGAGCCTTTTCAAGAATCCGTACTTATATCGCAAAACCTTATAATATCATTAATAACGTACCAAAAAATTTAAGAATTGTTTAAGAATCATAAATGTGACTCATTAATTAACGCTTCCTCTTGCTAAACTATTAACGAGCCGTATATCAATCTAATTTGGATAAGAATGTTATATAATTTCAACATCGCAATTCTTGAAATGATATCGAGCAATCTAATCTCATTAGCAGTGCAAGAAAGGGAGAAGGGGAGGGGAGAGAGAGAGAGAGAGAGAGAGAGAGAGAGAGAGAGAGAGAGAGA